ATTGGTGGGATTGCCGATGAAGCAAACGTATGTTTGCTATAGTAATCAGCAACGTTACTTATATTCGTATTAAAGTAGGGTTTCGAGACTACCAGTAACTCAGTGTCTCGAAACCCTACTTTAATACGAATATGTGTGCAAATATACAGTAACAAATCCATTTCTCGAAATTGTTGTTTATTTATTATTTTAAAGTTTACTAAAAATTAATGTCCTCAATTGTGGAGAAGGGTCTAGTCACATATTAGACCAAGTCCCTAATCATTTTAGGCAAACTTAAATACTCATTTTATTAGTTAATTGCATATCTTGGTTGCTCTTCATATTTAGTATGTAAAAACTAAAGTTTAAATCATATTTCTTAAGATCCTGAGGCTTTTATTTGCTATCAACTGTTGTAATATTTATACACAAAATCACTTTATTTCCGTTTATACTTTTATGATCTATCCCCGAGATATTTAACATCGAATTTTAGCTTTCGGAATACCCAAAATATGTAATTACTACTAAGTCTCTAGAAGAATAAAAAGGGTTTAATCAGAACATAATGTACATATGATTAGAATTTAATGCGTACATGATGCGCTGCTATTGGGTTGCGCGGTGGTTGGGCTCATACCTTCTGTGGTGAGTTTATTTTGGTCTGCCAAAGTCAAGGTGTGCTTTTTGGGGATTCCCTAAATTTCTTTTACGACCCAACGAATCGACGAGACTTACGGTTTGATAGGTTTCTTTTTGTCGGTTTCATTTCGTCTGACAGGAGGATGACTGCTATATTTTTATTAATTCCATTATTAAATATAACAAACTAAATCATGTATACAGATATGGTTAAATTATTCGGCGATTTTAAAGAGAACCTTATCCAACTTCTATCCTCTCCATCAATCATAATTTTCCCTTTAACATTCAAATTGCTTTATCCCATATTCACTCATGGCGTTTATCACCTATTCTTTATTCATATATTCATCCGTTAAACTTGGCCATTAGGAATCGTTGGCAGCACCGTAGCCGCTGTGCTTCTCATAATTTTGCTCATTCTTTTCTGCATCTACCGACTGCGCAAGAAGGATGAGGGTTCCTACGCACTCGACGAGTCTAAGAAGATTCCCTCAACCTCAGCATATGCGCGTGCACCTTCTCGCGAATTCTATGCTTAAATTAGTTTTATGGTGATCTCAAATTAGTCGGCACAATTTTACACAATGTGAAGTCTAATTTGAGCTTTTGTTTACTTAACTGGTCCATGAACAACATAGAACAGTTCTTTCGATAATTCTTTGTGGACTATTCATTTTTCTCCTATTTTACTTCGTACTCATAACCTTTAAAATGCTTGCAAAAGTTTTACCTAATTTACTTTTATTGTACATTATTTAATGATCTCGGCATTTTTCCATACTACCTTTAATATCTAGTCATTCGAAATGCATTAAGGCCAATCACATGGTCCAGCCTTAGTCAGTGCTTTTACGCATAATAACATATTTTATATTACTTCTTTTCTTTTGTGGTCACATCTAGCTGTTCTTATTATCCTCCTTGTCGTTTCTCTTTACATCTTGATTTTAACCTCATGCTGCCATTCTACCTCTCCCTATCCCTTAACCCTTAATCTACATCCATATTTCAGTCATTATTGCATTTATAACCAGTGCTCTTAATTCTAAAAAATTACATACATCTCCCTTTATTTCTGTTTTACTCAATATCCATCATTCTCAC